ATCACACACGACACAGCATAGTGCACATGCACAGTTCTTAGTTTATCTTGTAGTAAAGATATGAGAAATTACATGACAAATGATAAGTCCTGTTGCACCGTGACCTTTTTCAAACGCCTTCCTCTTCGTCCTTCTCCTGCAGACGGTGTCCGAGGCGTTCAGAGAAGCCAACTTGGCCGCCTCCTTCGGCAAAGCCATCAACTTCTGAGCCGCCAGCCGCTGTCGCACCTTCAGCGGACATGACAGCGGAGAAACAGAAAAGCTGCGTGTCTGCTTCAAAAACCTTCTGACTTTGACCCACCTGGGATCCTCGGTGTTCATCCAGACTGTACCAGTTTAGCTCTAAAGTTATTTAAATGTTCAATAAAATCATAAACGGGTGGTTTGGTGGGTAAATAAATACTGACTGCTGTCAGGCTTTTTGTTTTCCACACGTAGTTTAAAAGCTCTCAGCAGAGCATTATGCACTCATTTGCAGGTCAGAGAGAGAGATATGAATATTATTTTGGCTGTTTTGTTTGTGCAAGCAGACGGGGATGTCTGTTGTTTTACAGCATGGAGGAATTTAACACATGTGATGGGTAATCAGAGCAGGAAACTGGAGCTGCTCGAAGATTCACATCTGCATGTTTTCAATTTTAAGATGGATTTCTGGCTCATCTCAAATCGGTGACTTCATAGCTGGTGTGGTGGTGGTTAAGTTTATATTTCTTTCATGTTCACTCCGACTGATGTCACAGATTTGTGCAGAAACAGATGTGTGATAAGAATGAATGTGGCTCAGCTGCTGCTTCCTGTGTAACTAAAGTACTGAAGGACTCTTAGGTCAACATCAGCTCACATTTGGAGGGGAGCTGTTGATAGTTGCCGGGTGACTGTTTCCTACTCAAATTACTCTGCTGTGATTCGTTCTGGCCTGTATCTCACCATCTCAACCAATAAAGGCAGTTAAATCAGACACTGCTGTGTAGCTTCATGTGCCGACATTATTTTTGAAGTAACTTTCAGTGCAGATAGCAGCTCTTACACTGGATGATGTAGATGGGCAATGTGAAACTAAGTTGGGGGGGGGGGGATAAAATTTAAACTTTATGTAGTGCATTTGGAAACTGATCTGCAACAGGACCATGAAGTTAAACTGAGAGATGCATCTGGCCCTTCAGCTGATGCATCTAGCCTCATCAGAAATGACATCAGTGGCTGTCAAGGCGTTTTTAAAGAAGTGGGACGGGGTGCACAGGCTGAGGTATGCCAAAGTACACATGAACCAGACTGAAAATCAGTGGCAGAAGATCTGATGGAGTGATGGATCCAAATCACCGGAGGACAGAGAGTCTACAGCCATCTGTAAAAGATCAAGGTGCTGTTATGATTTGGGACAGCATTTCAGCCAGTGATATAAATGGACTGATTCTGATATAGCACTTTTCTACTCTCCCAGAGTACTCAAAGCGCTCTATGCTACATTCACCCAATCATTTTCTTATAAACTGAGGGCTTCCTAACTATATTCATACTCCCATGGATGTAACTTGGGATTATTATATTGCCCAAGGATTCTTGGCATGTAGACTGGAGGAGCCTGCTCACCTTCAGATCAGGTGACGGGCTCTACCTCCTGAGCTACAGCCACCCCAAATGTTGGAGATCTTTTTAAAATTTATTGAATTATGCACCCAGAAAAGTACCATCAAATTTTGATAGACCATGGAATCCCATCTGGAAAACATCTGATGGGGAATGCCATCATTTTTCAGCATGACAATGATCCCAAACAGCATTAAAAGCAGTAAAAGTACCCACCCAAATCACCCTGGGTAACATGCTGAATGAAATGATTAGTTCATTACCAGGCCTCTGGAAACCTCAAGACATGTTGAGGAGGTCATTTAGCCATTTAAATCAGCTGTGTTGGATCAAGGACACATCTCAAACCTGCAGGACACCGGCCCTTGAGGGCTGGAGTTTCCCACCCCTGGATAGAAAAACACAGTGGGACACTATCAGGCATGGATCGGCCTCCTCAGAGCCCAACATTATTAAAGCAGTGGGGAATCATCCTGACAGATAACCAAATACAGCCAACATCTTTCAACAAGCCGGGAGAAATATTCCTGAACAGAAAGCCGCCTAAGAGAGTTCAGGTTGTACTGAAGGATAAAGGTATTGACTTTCAAGCTCATTGGAACTGTACACAGAAAGGAAGCGTGGCTCAAGCCTGCGGCACGGTTATGCTTAAAAAGAGTTTTAGGAAGGTAAGATCTCAGTCTTCTTCAGTCTTCTTCATTTGTCCATGTTGGACAAGCGTTTCTTTGTCTATGGTTCCCTGACATCATCTACGTTATATTGAACAGCAACATGTAAAATTAAAGGTAAAGTAATAATTCTGACACGGGTGCAGCTGATAAGTGGATCGTGTGACGAGCAGAAAGTGTGATGACTCTAAATAGCCTCCTGTTAACATTTAAAACTCAAGACATAGACTGTATGTACTGTAGCAAGAGTGGTTATTATGGTTAAAGTTGAAATGTCAAAGATCATGAAAGTGCGATGATAATAACACTGATTCATACTCATCTTCTAATAACTGATCGATCGTATTTGTCCAGGTGACAACAGCAAGGTTAATAAGTTATTGATTATAGTTGTCTTGGTATGCAGCCCCACCTACTTTTAGTTTAGATCTTCTGATTTCGTGGGGCAGCCAATCAGAGCTGGCTTTAAAGGACGAAGGGCTTTAACAGCTTCAGACACAGGACGAACTGAGGGGAGCTTGGCTCAGAGGATTATTATGAACTCTGGATTATGCAAAGCTACTCTTTTAGAATGGAATCCTTGTCTTTCTTCAGCAGCATACAAATAAACATCCAGCGGCTCTAGTGGTAAAATCATCAGAGCATCTTAACAGCTGAACTGCAGCTCACTGAACACATTTTGCTGTTTCAGTAACATGTAGCTGTTTTTGCTGCTGGATGACGCATGTTTTATTTAAGTAAGCAGCATTTCACTAACTCCACCTCTGTTTAAACTCTGACTACTGTTTCTGTGTGTGTTCAGCAGGTGTGGCGGCTGCTCCAGGTTGAATTAGCCACGCTTGAGGAGTCATAGACTCTGCAGGCTCGAGCTGTTTAACAGCCCCGTAAACAACTGGAGAAGAAATGAAGTAAAAGAAGAGAAAAGTCCTCGTTACACTGGGGTATTGTTGCTGCTTCTATTCTTCTCTTCTTCTTTTTTTTAAATTTTGTGTTATGTGACTGTTTGAGTCTCAGGGGAAATGTCAGTGTTTGATAAAGTCCAATTACGTTTGTATCAGTTGCAGAAAATAACAGACACACTCACTGTTAGCTGGATTCGCCCATCTTTCTTTCATTTCTTCTCTCTTGTTTCTGTGATCGCCTTCTTTACTTTTTTGTTCTGGGATCTCATCGGAGAATCTGGGATGTGCTTTATGTCTACATTCTTAGTTTACCCATAAATTATTTTCTTCTCTGATTTTGTCTCTTAAACTTTCATCTTGAAAGCTCGACCCATTTCATTTCTCTCCTCCTGTTTCCTTTGCTCTTTTCTACCCTGCTCTTGTAATTGTGTTAGTTTTTTCTTTATTTCACCACTCACACTCTTCTCTGTCTCCCTTTTCTTTCTTCTATTTGTTCTTTTCTCTTCTTCTTCTTCTCCATGTAACCCTCCCAATATCATAAACTTTCCCTGTCCATGTCCTTTCTTCCTTTGCTTTTCCTTTTTTGTACTTTTTTTTTTGTCTTCGTTTCTTGCACGTCTCTAAATCTTCACATTTTGTCACACTCCTTATGCAACTTTTCAAAGATTGCTTTGAGACATATTATAGAATATTTAGAAATACTTCCCTTTCAATAATAGCAGAACAACATCAGACACTAGTTATCTTGTAAAAAGGTAATCTTCTTGTACTAATCTAAGTAATCTTTCAGATTATTAGGACACAGCTGTTCATCCTATCTGCTAGAAACTTGTGAGTCCTGAATAAGTGCATTGTTAAATTTGAGCCTGTCTGGATGAGCGGTTCTCATACTCTGGCTAACCTTTTTTAACTGTTAGAGAGACTTCTGCCTTCCCCAGACACAGGCATGTTCATCATTCATTTACATTAATGAATTCCTGGAACTCTTACATCTCATTTTAACCCTTGAAACTTAGGGCCAGACTTTGACCCAAACATAAACCTAATTCCAACTTTAACCCTGAGATCAAATCTTAACTCTCAGACTGATCTTTGACGGAGCGAGAGAAAAGGCAGTGTTTTAGCTTCCAGAGACTTTGGTCACTCTGACTATAACTGGGCAAGATTTAATTTAGTTTCAGTTATTGTCCTCACTTTCAGTAGCCTCCATGATGCCACTCCGTGGTTTTGGACTGTTCATTTCAAAGCTTTAATATTTGTGTTTTAGTCATCACCATGGTCTTTGTTGGAGTCTGAAGCTCCATATTTGCCTTCATCTGAACAACTGTGTCTCAAAATAGCCCAATAACTCACTCAGTGATGTTTAAAAAAAATCATCAGCACTGTTTTTATGAAGTGGGAAACTATCCAAAGTCTGTTTAAAAAAAAAAAAAATGTAACAGGCTGTGAACATGCTTTTTAAATTCGGTAACATTTGTCACCAGCCTTGTGCAGGGACACCTCCAGCAAATTTTGGGGGGTGGCCGGAGCCCCTCTGGCCCCACCTTGGTGGCAGCCCTGGCCTCGTGTCTGCTAGAGGAACAGCAGTTTTTAAGGCTTCAGTATATTCTCCTTTCAGTGATGTCACAATAATCATGAAAGACGGCAAACTTTAATTGCTGACAGACGGCCATGTAGTCTGTTATGTCTCTTCAACAAGAATTTTATTTATTATCATGTAATTGGACCTGCATGTGTGCTTATCAAACTAAAAGAGCTGTACTGTCAGATCCCTTTATAAACAACGATAGACTCCCTGGAGCTGGAGCTACGAGTTTTGTTTCGCCAAAGGGAGTCTATCGTTGTTTATAAAGGGATCTGTCAGTACAGCTCTTTTAGTTTTTCAGCTTCAGTCGTACAGTAAGTGGACTTTTTGCCACTAAGCACTTCCACAGTTTAAGTATATAGATTAGAAGAAGGCCTGTCCCCTGGTAAATCCTGGTTTTGAAGCTTTTGTTGTGTTTCCCCTTCTGATTACGGGGAAAACAGAGTGGATGTAGCTGGAGGGAGGAGAAGTTTCCTCTCTTTAATCAGCAGTTTAAAGATTGTTTTTAGGAAAAGTCCCTTTGTTAGAGAGTCCGTCCTTCCTCTTCAGTTATTCTTCAACAGAACTTTTTTTTAATCTGAGTGGTAAAGCACGGAAAACTATCAGCCTTCGCCAGTCGCCTGTATGGACTGAGCAGGGATGTCAAAATTTCTGTTAAATTCATCATAAGTAAGTAAAATACTTCTTTTATCCAAATTTTTTTTTTTTTGCCTTTTTCAAATCGTTATGCTTAGTGATTTCACAAGAGATGTGATCATTTGTATGACAGGATATAGAGAATCCAATTTTTAAGTGCTTGACCCATAATAGAGAGCAGAAATCTTTCTTTTTTGTTTGTTTGTCATTGTTTAACTTTGATGATTAGCAAGGATCCTGCTGGTGCTTAAAATTTATTTCTAAGCACTGAATTTGTTCTGTTAAAATAAGGCCTGAATTAATATTAAATGTTTTAACTCAATCTTTCAAACATTTCAAAAATATTAAGCTGTATCTCTAACTCAGAGGAATTTATCTTTCTTTTCCTTTAAGTTGAGTTGTTGTTTAATTTGTTCATAATTTTCATTCTGAGTGGCAAAAAAAAAGGTTTGTTATTGTTTTTAAAGTCTTAAATTAAATTGCTTTAAGCTGCAGAAACCCTGCGATGGTCTAAAACACTAAAACACTTGCTAAAACAGTTCTTTAAACGCTGGGTAGCGTACATGCAAATAGTTTTAATGGATCGCCATTAAAACTATTTGCATGTACGCTACCCAGCGTTTTAAGCAACATGTTTAAAAAAGTTGATTTCCAGGTTTAATTTTAGGGTGAACATTAGATCACAGACTATGAAGGACTAACATCAGGATGAGGAGTTGGGCAGCAGAAGTAAATTCAGTATGTATGCCTGGCTTTTGGGTATTTCTACAAAGAGAAACAGTACTGAAGCATTGTGTGGAGTGCTGTTATCGGAGCATGAATCAGACCGTGGTTTAATGTGCTGCTGCTGTTTGTTCATGGTGGAGGGCCGTAGTTGGAATTCCACTCAGTCATATCAGCAGAGTTTGATGGCTCTGATGTTTGTTGAAATTTGTTTTACGTCACTGTTGCTGGGAAACTTCCTTTAAAGTCCAAAAATATCTCAACACTGAAAAGTTTTATGGGTTAAAAGGTGATATTTTGACCAGGTTGTAAAACCATGGTCTCTCTGTAATCTGACCACAGGGTATCACCAGTGGCATAGTTACAAATCACTTTTATAAGATTATAGTGCAGTGGCGAGTTTTGAATATGTTTAAGAACAAAATCAACTCAGTGTATAAATAAAAGGTCAGGATTTCTGTTAACTATGCTTTCTTGGAAGATAGCAGGCGACTTTTCACCTCAGGAACCAATGAGCTGTCGCCTGTCACACCCAATCAATTGCAGCAGATGGCTTTTTAATATTGTAGGGTCTTTACCATACAATATAATGTAACAAGAATGTGGAAATCAGGTCTTTATGGTCAAATAGCTGCTAAGAATCCACGACTAAGTGAAAGCAACAAGCAGAAGAGATTTGTTTGGGCCAAGAAAGAAAAGGAATGGACATTAGACCAGTGGAAATCTGTGCTTTGGTCTGATGAGTCCAAATTTGAGATTTTAGGTTCCACCCACCGTCTCTTTCTTGGACTCAAAAAAGGTGAATGGTGTCTACATGCACGGTTCCCACCGTGCATGCAGACACCATATTTCTGTCAACATTTCCTAAGAATCCTCTTAAGGCTGCACTCATCGGTGCTTCCTGTGCCCCTTTTCCTGCCACAATTTAAATTTTTATGTTTAAATCTCCATTAATTATGCTCCAGTACAGCGCTCTGTGAACAGCCAGCCCTTTCAGCAGTGGCTTAGTCTCCTTGTGGAGGGTGATCATCGCTTAATGCAGGTCGCTTAACATTTAAATGGACTCTGCAGCCCAACTAACCCAGTGCTTGATTTCTGTTCTTACTACCAGTAAAACAGCCTTAACTTTGATGGTTTATTTTAGTAACAGTACCTCGTTAAGTTGTAAAGGATGTGGCTCAGTGTGTTTGTGTGTGTGTGTGTGTTTTTAAAGTGACTGCATGTGCATCATGCGGTCACTTTGACTATCTATCAAGCCTGTGGTAATTTGAGGGAAGCCATTCCCTCCACTTTTCATTAAGCACAAAGGCTGAGAGACTTTTTTGTTAACACATGTAAACATTTGTCATCTCTTGCTTCCAGAAATCTTCATCCTCTTCATCATGTCTAAAATCCTTCCACCACAACATTCTTCCCATGTGAAATCTAACTTGTTATCAAAGGCAAAAAGCTTCACAGTCACAGATCACCCCACCACCCTCATCTCCACCACCTCCACATATACTAACACCACTGCCGACCCAGCTGTTGCCTTCATCAATGGCCTGCTCGACCGGATACCCTGTGAGTAATGAATTATTTCCCAAGTAGCCAAAGGATAACTAGAGTTAAATATGTGTTTTGATCTTGTCAGGTGAGCAAATAAGTTAGATACAAATGCTAGTGATCTCCCCCTGCTGCCGATGAAAGACACAATGATGAGAAGGGTCTCAATAATAGCTTCTTTCCCCTTCTCCCCAACCAGTCAAAACAGATGGCTGCCCCTCCCTGAGCCTGGTTCTGCTGTATGCTGTGTCTTGTAATATAAGATGCCTGGGTTTAGCTGTTATTTGGAACGTGTCTTGAAATTTCACTAAAACTTAGATGCTGTAATTTCTACTGCCTAAATGACCAACAACAACACAAACAAGAGCAGCGCACAAACGTATTGTTGCACATATTTTTTTATGATAGCACAAAGTTATTACATGTATACGATGCTCTGCAAAGTTGTGCATAGGCTCAGTGCACAACCAAGCTAGTCTCTTATGTCATCGTTGTTGATGTCCTCAATCTGAACCCTCTGCAATCTGAATATGTCATTTTTCTGTTAATTGGTCTCTGAAGACTCGGTAATCAGGAGGCCAAGAAAATGAATATTTGGAAATGCATCAAAACCTATCCTTATTTTCAAAAACATCCGTTTAACCATTCTCCAAAATCTAGAGTCAAAGTTATCACTAATGATGACTTTGATCTCAGAGGCTTAAAGTTAGTCACACACAAAAGTGTGTCATCTGCATAGAGTTGTACGATTTAGAGACGTAGCTGCTTCCAGAGTGTTTTATCTCCAGTCTTAAATTATTCTCTTTAAACTACATTCTCAACATACTCAGTCAATTAATATTATGTCCAAAGAAATTATTTATATTTATCTTCTGATGAATTATGTTTTGTCCATCTTTTAGCACTGGGACATCAAAGGATTTAAACACTGGTACTATTTGTCACTGCAAATACAAAGAAATAATTTTAATGTGAACTGAATGTGTAATCAGTTTACCATTATATCTAACTCTACCATAAAGCTCATATGTTCAACTTTTAATCAAAGGAACAAATATTTTCATAGATTTTCAATGAGAATAAAATGGACATTTTGTTTACAGAATCAGTCTTTGTTGGTGAGATAATGTGGACTCGTCTTATCTCCACAGTGCCTCGATGGGCGATCTACACCATCTTTGCAGCTGGCGGTCTGCTGATTCTGCTCTGCTGCCTGTGTGTCTGCATCAAGTGCTGCTGCAAAGGAAAGAAGAAAAAGAAGAAGAACGAGCAGATCGATCTGAAGGCGGTGAATGGAAAAACAACCACAGCCCTGGTGAGTGGCAGAGGCCAGAGTATCTGATATAAATTTGACTGATACACAACACAAAAACATAATGTATTCTATTGTTTTTTTATTTCCACTGAACTGATTATAACTACACACTACAGACTACACATAAAAGCTGGAAATAACCATTGGAATGTCTCACGTGTTACTTTTCAGCATGCTAAGGTATTCCTGGGCTTTGCCAACCCTCAAGAATTCCTGTGAAAGACCTTGGTTAATGACAGGCTCCTTGTAAACTGGACAGATATTAGTTGCTGAACAGTTTAGTTACTTTTTGGGTCAAGAAACAACTGGTCAGAACCTTTGACTCGATTTTACTTTTGATAGGTTTGAAAGCGCTCAGTGAAATAACTTTTTGGTAACTGCGAGGGTCGATGCCACTGACTCATCTGTGGAGAATTTACTTTACAGCTGTGCATGTGCCACAGGAATGACTACTCGTTGTTGGGTCTCCAGTTGCCCATGTCCACAACAAAATACAATCAAGGTGTTAGGAACTGGCACGCACAACCTGTATTTTTACGTCACTGGGAACATGCGGTTGGCACTTTAGAGAAACCGTTGAGTCAACATGAGACTATGTTAAATAAGACCTGACACTAACAATTAATGCCATAAACTCATCAGGAAAATGTTCACTTAAGTTATTGATCAAGTAGAGCAGTAGAGTAATTTTAGCATAGTTCCAGTGACCCCTGCTGTCCTTTAGATGTAATGCACACTAGGACACCACATGACTTTATTTTTCAGACTCAAAGAACAGACTTGATGTTCTATGTTGTGTCGTTACTCTGGATTTATTTGGTTCTGGGTGTGACATAATTTTATTTTTTAATTAAAAGTATACAACAGTTTTAGTTTAAAAGTTTAACATGGCTTTACCCCCGAAAAGGCTTGGACAGCTAATGTGCTTCCTGTGCTCGTCTGACAGGTTCAGCCAGATGTGGCAGATGTTGATTATGGCTCAACCAAAAAGCAGAGAGGAAAGCTGCTCTACTCTCTGGAATATGATGGGCCTCTGTCTGAGGTGATTAAATGAATGTCTAATTGTTTACCTTTCATGCAGCGTTGCACTTCTATAATGTTGCATTCTTATTTTAAACATTTGAATGTGTGAAATTTGTTCAGCTCCTCTTTAGTTTTCAGCTGTGGTATGAGTCAATATCCATCTGTTTCCTGTCGACCTTTACAGCTCAAACTGGGGATCAAACAAGCCAGCAGCCTGATGGCCATGGACCTCGGAGGAACCTCAGACCCATATGTCAGAGTCTACATCCTCCCCGAAAAGAGCAAAACCTATGAAACCAAAGTGTTCAGGAGCACGCTGAACCCTGTCTTCAACGAGCAGTTCACCTTCCAGGTAGGACCTGATGACTTGCCCTGTTTAGTTGCATTTGCTTAAAAAACAGTTATAATTAAAAATTGTTGTGTATGTGGTGAATTATTGAAGTTGAACGTCAATGCTGCAAATCCTCAAAAAAGAAAGAGCTTCCAACCTTAGTTATATGCCCCCAGCTACCAAAGTCTACCCTCATGAAGTCGACAGCTGTGATGAAAGTGTTTGACTTTAACCGGTTTTCCAAACACGAAATCATCGGCGAGATCCGGGTGCAGCTCTGCAATGTTGATTGGAATCACATCATCGAGGAGTGGCAGGAGCTGGAAGCACCCGCCAAATTTGAGGTTTGCTTTCACACATTTCCTTATTCTTCATGGTCCAAGTGGTGGCATCTAGGAAGGATTTAATCAATTTTTGTCGAATGTATTTCCATATTCTTTAAGGATTCAGTTTCCTAATCCAAACCTCTTGTGTCATTCAAAAAGAAAAAGCAGTCATGTTGCTTCCTGGGACCAATAGTTGGATTAATGGCAGGATTAACAGTTTTTCAAGCTTGGTTTGTTTACTCTTCTCTTCATACTGTCAAAATCTATTCTGGTTTTTTATACTATACCCCAATACATTTTCTTGAGACACTAGCCTGTAGCGGAATCACTGACGCATCCTGAAACTAATTTCATTCAACTCAAAAATCTCAAAACAACCGATTTACACTTCCTGAAGGATCTGTCCCGGGACCTCTCCTATTAATAATCTACTTCCTCTTGGTCTCTTCTCTTTTGTAAATTTGATATTAATTTCAATTTTTATGCTGATGACACCCAGCTTTACCTGTGCACCAAACCTCCCACCCACCTCTCTCTTTCGTTGCCTCAAGGAAATCAAATCCTGGGTCTCCAGAAACTTTATCAGATTGAATAGTGTTAAAACTGAGGTCCCCCTCATTGGCACCAAATCCAGGTTATAAAAAGGTTCTCCTTTCTCCGTTCCCCCCTCCTCTCAGGTTAGAGTCATCAGATGCTTTCTCCTACCAGACATCTCCTGCCTGACTCTCTCCACTTTCAAATCCCAACACATTTCTTTAAAGTGACTTACTCTTTCTGACCATCTTCCACCTGTCACATGGATCCTCTGTTCTTAATGATTTTTATATACTGCATATTTGTTTAATTCACTTTGACATTTTTCTTGGCTTTTTAAATTTTTTAAACTCTTCTAACCTTGAATATTTTGAAAGGCACTTAAGATAAAACGTATTATTCTTATTTTTATACTTGTTAGTAACATTATAGGTTTTGCAGGTTATCCAAGAGGAATGTGAATATTATTTAAATCATTGTGTACTGTCACTAGCACAAGGCTCTCATAATGGGTGGTCACTTTCTCCTTCAGCTTCCTCCTTTTATTTGCATTTTTATTCATTTCAGTTTACTGAAATATATCAGAGCTGATTCAGTTTGTCAGAACTACAGATTTCTGTATGACGTTTGTGCTACAGGAAGAAAATCTAGGAGAGATCTGCTTCTCCCTGCGCTATGTTCCCTCTGCCAGCAAGCTGACTGTGGTAATCCTGGAGGCCAAAAACCTGAAGAGCATGGATGTTGGAGGATCCTCAGGTCAGACTGAAACGGGATCTTAATCAAAAATGTAACTTTTCAAAAACGCTCCAGCGTGCTAATTTACAGCAAATCCAAGAACACATTTGCTCTCCATTAAACCAACGGGTGATCACTGGAGGTGTAACAGAAGACAACACTGCCTCACAGTGGTTGACAGCAGTAACTACAGAAACACTGAAGATGGGAGAAGTTTAGTCATTTCCATCTTCATATTGTGGGAGCTGTACTCGACTACAGCAGCTTCGTTTATCTTACACTGAGGTCTAATGCATCTTATCATAATTTTTTAGCTCCTCCCCCTTTAAACAAACTGTCTTCTTAAACAGGTTTGAGCAGTAATGCTTAAGTGCTGACCATGTTTAATTTAAACATCTAGCTGTATATTTATTTAAAGAAAGCCGTAACGGATTATCTTAACTAAAAGGATGATTATCTAAAATTTCTTTATTGATCCAATTCAGACATGATTGCATCAATACTGTTACAGCTGTTACAATATTCATGTTTCTTGATTCCTGCTTACCTTATTATTTTACCCCATTAATTCTTCTCAGGTATTTTATGCAGGTATCATGCATCTGCATGAAGAAATACAGTTTATAGGTGCTCCGAGTGACTTTCCTCCATGCTGTGTTCGTAGATCCTTATGTGAAGATGCAGCTAGCTCTGGACAAAAGGAAGTGGAAGAAAAAGAAGACGTCTATCAAAAAGAAGACGCTGAGCCCTTATTTCAACGAATCGTTCGTCTTTGACGTGTCACTGGATCAAATCCAGGTGAGTGTCACGACATCCTGGCTGAAGCAGATCTTTAACAATATTTGAGACGATCTGAAACAATAGACTGGTCATTGATATTAATTTTACATAAACACAAAACATTTTAACAGTAATTCTGGAGACATTTTGTGATGATGGTTTAGAATATAAAGAATATATATCAGCATAGATCCTGGATTGAACTAACTTGAGAATGTTTTCCTCTTTCCTGACATTTATACTTCTGCACTGGCTGACGCATACACTGTGTCAATAAAAATAAAATTCAACCTGCTATTTTTCCAGTCCTGGTCTAAGTGGTTACATAATACATGCCACATTGTTGAGAAGGGAAACAGACTCCTGCCACTTTCACAATATGTTTGATAATTACCCTTTTACTGTTGTTCTGAGTGGCTGTGATTTTCTGATGAACATGGCGCACACACTTTTGTAAACCATCACACACTGAAGGCTTTAAGGTTTTCTACCTCTGGTGTAGGGATTCAGCTCCTTTCTCAAAGAAGAGCCTAATGCAGCCTAACACATAAAGGGATGATCCTCAGCTGTATGCAGTGAGGGAGGCAGCTTTTTAGTTTAACACGGTTATAAGACTGACACTTATTATAAGCACACAGTCACACTTGAGGTATCACATCAAACTAAAAAAAATGGATTGGTGCATCCCTGTGGAAAAATTTACTTCACTTCTGTTCAGTTTTATTTATACAGCACCAAATCACAACAACAGTCACCTCAGCACTATATATGTTGTAAAGTAGACCCTACAATAATACATAAGAGAAAAAACCCCAAATCCTATGACCCTCTGAGCAAGCACTTTGGCGACAGCGGGAAGGAAAAACTCCCTTTTAACAGGAAGAAACCTCCGGCAGAACCAGGCTCAGGGAGGGGCGGGGCCATCTGCTGTGATTGGTTGGAGGGGAGAAAGACAGCATAAAAGACATGCTGAGCCAGAGGTTAATAATAACTATTGATTACATGCAGAGAGGTGTATAAATACAAAGTAGGTGAAGAAGAAACACTCAGTGCATCATGGGAATCCCCCAGCAGTCCACACCTATTGCAGCATAACTAAGGGTGTCAGGGTCACCTGGTCCAGCCCTAACTATATGCTTTAGCAAAAAGGAAAGTTTGAAGCCTAATCTTAAAAGTAGAGATAGTGTCTCTCTCCCATATTAAAAACTACCACTTTAATGCTGCTCTGATAGTGAGGCGACTTTAAATCTGAATCTCTTTCCTCAGAGGGTGAATCTGGTGGTCTCTGTGTGGGACCATGACGCCGTGACCAGGAATGATCCAATAGGGAAGATCTACCTGGGCTGCGATGCCACGGGGAACCAACTAAGGCACTGGGCCGACATGTTGTCCAACCCGCGACGGCCGGTGGCTCAGTGGCACAGCCTGCTGTCGGCCGAGCAGGTCAACTCCACTCTAACCCTGAAAAAGAAAATCCCCATCCCCAGCAAAATGAAGGAAAGCGCTCAGCAGTGGTACCCTAAATGAAACCATTTAAAAAAAGGAGAGATTCAAATATTTTTGATAACCATTTCTCCCTTTGTTCTTCTGATATGGAAATTATTGAATAAGATTACTTTGTATTATACTGTATATTAAGATTTGTAATTATTATTTTTTGGTATCAAATCAAAACATGCTAAAATATATTTTCTAACATTTATTTTTGCTTTATGAACACAGTTTAGCCTCTGTAAGATAGCTGTACTGAGTAATACAGTTAGGTCCATAGCTTCAGTACACACTTTCCCTCAGTACAACAACAACATGGTGGATTTTAAATCAAACAGTCAATATGTTCACTCATTATTCCAAGACAAATGAAGTGGATAAAAGAGTTGATTCCAAGTCTTGAACTTCTGAATGAGCCTCATTCAGTAAATGTTTTTACCCTGTGAAAGACACGAGCTCGCACGTGAAACTTCTGCCAGATTCATGACGAGTGGGCACCGGCATCGTTTGTGCTGGCTGTCTGCAATCTGCATACCATCACACTTATTTCTCTATATAAGGAAACAAGTTTATCTCAAAGTGAAACGGGGAGTGATGCTGCTGTAAAAGAGGGAAGAGGAGGAAAGCAGGAGAAAGGCTGACATAAAAAAAGACATTTTTTAAATAAGATTATTACTACTAATAATTACTAATTGCAATTCAGTCAGTATAAAGGTGTGTTTTTCTTGTGTTTTGTAATATAACCAGAGCTTCATCATTTGTTCATGCATGCAGTCTGGGGCATTACTATATTTCTTCGTACCGTATGAACAAAGGTACAAAAATGATAACAGCTCAGCAGCACTGTGAACACCATGCAAGACAACTGATGGTTGTGGAATTCTTTCTATGGTTAAAAACAACAGCTTTACAACAGCTTACCAAGCCAGGACCACTCTTAAGGAGGCAGGAGTATCTCTGTCAAGGTCTACAAACCAAAGATGTCTTACTGAATGGAAATACCGAAAGTTTAGGACATGCTGCAAAGCACTGGGTGGCACTCAAGGCTATACTCTGTGATCAGACTCTGACAAAATGCTACAAAACCGATCGGACTACATTTTACAGTGCAAAAGGATGATGATACAAGGCTGACTGCAAAAGAAGCGACCCACGAGTTTGTCAAAGCAAAGAAATGGGGATATTCTTCAATTCGCCAAGTCAGTTACCCGAGCTCGATTCAGCAGAGCAGCTTGGGTGTAATTCCTAAACACTTAATGCAATATTTTTGTTAAAGCCGTTGGATTAAAGCTGAACTTCTCCACTTCAACCACATCTTCACTGTTTGATTTCAAATCCCCTGTAGGCAAAGGCAAAATTGCAGTTGTTGTGCCGGTTTCTAAATACTAATGGACCTGGAAATGCATATCATTATTTCTTATGTAAACACACTGAAAGTGAAATGTATTTTAGTCTACAAAACACAAACAACTCTATATGTTTTTATTAAGAAAAGATCTTGTTAACTTTCTACACAGTTGGAATATGATCTAAAAGCTAGAAACAATCGTTTATGGACAAACAAGTCTGAGACTCTCACTCGTCTCCCCTGACAGACGACGACTCAAACAAAAACTGAGCTCAATCAAGCCGAGTTCAGCAGGTGCCTTCTCCTGCTGGCTCAGGCCTCCAGAGACCGTCCTCATTAAATGCTCTGTGAATGCACAGCTCAGTGCATTCACAAAACGGGAGATTTTCACTCTGTCAGCATCTGATGTTAAAACATCAACTACGATGAGCCTCTGTTGACTTGAAACTTTGATTTCATAAGCAAAAATGACCCTACCTCTAATAAAGTTTGAAAGCATTGGAAGATACTGGCTTTGAGTGATATAGACGCTTCAGCTACAGATTGTTTGTTTGTTGGATATTTAATGTTTCTCCAGGATCAGCTGAAGCAATATGGCTTCATGATGTAAGACGATGGGTCTAAAATGGATTCAGGCTGCTCTGTGGTTCCTCAAGACAAAAAAGACGCCATCATCTCGCAGCGTTTCAAACCTAAACCACAATCGGTGGAGTTTAGCTTATTGCTTACAATGCTGAATACAAATAATTATTTTAAGAGGATTTCTTTTTTCAGAACTTTCAAGGGAACTTCAGAAAACGTTCCCTGAAAGTTATTTCGGGAAACCTTCAGAGCACCTTCAGGGGACCTTTCTGAAGGTTATGCTGCAAAGCTCCCAAGACCTTACGAGGACCCTAATCTCAACAGTCCCTTTTAAAGGTGCACTATGGCGCAGAGCACCTGGAGGACCTTCTGTTGAACTTCTACAACCCTTCAATCCCAATAGAAGCTTTGTTATGTTGTCACATCGTCAAAGGACCTGCCTTAATGTTCTCCGGTTGTGTGAAAAGCCCAGAGGGCCTTCAGAGAACTCAGTAGTATTTTTTGGAGAACTTCAGGGAGCAAGAGCTTGTAGGTTCACAGGGAAAAGGAAGAAAGATCCTTATCAGAGTGGGAACGAGCTCAAGAAAGTCACCCCAGATTGACTGATTAATTTCTTTCGTTCATCCATCCATCCCCCTACAATCGCCACTTACTTTCTCCTTTGCTCTTGTCATAATTACCACAGCCGCTAGAGTGTACCATCACAATAAGCTTCAATAACAAATGATCTACGGGCTTGTATTTTACTGGTCAACATTATATTGCTGCTCCTGATTTACAGGAGGCCAGTGAAGGCTCAGCAGACCTGATAGGGACGAGCCAAGAAGCTTGGAAGCTCTCTTTGAAATGTAAATGTCACCCACTTAAGGACACACAAGAGCTTCTCTCCACTTTCTGTCACCTGCAGATGACACTGAGATGACAATGGAAGGACACATTTGTAGTCTGAGCATTAGTGATTTTATTCTGTCTCATTAAAAATAAACGTTAATGAATACCGGGAACATCAGTTGAAGGAATACAAGTTGGAAAAAAATATTGCCGCACATTTTTTAACTAACCTGTCATTACTAGTGCAATTTTCTGTTAGGGCATCAGCAGCAACAGAGCCAGCTGATGAAGCTGATTAGGCTTGGCCTGGGTCTGGGTCTCTGGAGCCCCTACAGGTGTTTCCTGGGCAAAGATTGTTGCTGAACATACTGGACAACACCTCACATCCCCTAAAGGACCTACCGGTCAAACAGCAAAGTGTGTTCAGCAGCAGCCTCCTTCAACTCTGCTGCAATTACAACAAAAATCTTACTCACTCCACCTAAAATGGGGGATTTGTGTCTTCTCCGAGCAGCGATCTTTCACTTGTTAGACGAATTTGCAAACCTTTACACCAGGGGTCCCCAATCCCGGTCAACGAGGGCCGGTGTCCCTGCAGGTTTTAGATTTCATCCTGGGTCAACACACCTGAATCACATGATTAGCTCATTACCAGGCCTTTAGAGAACTTCAAGACACGTTGAGCAGGTCATTTATCCATTTAAATCAGCTGTGATGGATCAAGGACACATCTAAATCCTGCAGGACACCGGCCCTCCTGGACTGGGACTGGGGACCCCTGCTTTACACTAAGCCACTAATGCAAGAACTCTCTCTCTATATCTTAATGTAACATCATGCAGTATTTTGTCATTTATTCCTTTTTTAATTACAGTGGCTTCTGTGTATTTACTTTCCTTGCTTTATCTCCATCATGCCATTTGTTGTGTTTGTACTTGGTATGAATTTGCTCTCTGTTTCACTTTCTCTCACCTGGTTGAGCAGGTGACCCATGTGCTGAAGTACAGAAGGCTAGATACCTGGGTTTGAGTGTCTGCCGGGCTGCTTCCTCTGTGTCATTCTCCTGCACTGTCTCACTACACTTTCCTATCCAATAAAGGTAATAAATAAATGAAGTTAAACAAACAAAAATTCTGATCCACAGGAGTCAAAATGGGACAGCTTTTATATTTTAAATGATCCATTAAAGGGTTCCTAATCTGCTTCAGACTCACCTATAACGTAACAATTAAACTAATGTAGCTCTCAGAATTTTGCTAAGGGGCCTCGAGTCAAAAACAATCTTCTTTTTCTTATTTTGTGTCAATATTCTGTTCCAGTGGTGGACATTCGTGCTTATTAAAATCACTAACTGGTGATGAATCCCATCCCTTTTCAGTAATAATTAAAATGTACCCAAAATACCACACATTTTACTTATTATTTTGAATAACAATTCATTCTATAATAAAAAAATATCAGTGTTATATGTGTTTGAAGTCGATGAATTGTTAATAAAGGTGCAAAAAGTAAACTGGAGAATAAACTGGAGTCACCTGTTTGCGAGAAATTCAGTGTCTCCTAATCAGCTTAAACCAGCCATGGCCTTCATTGTCCGGCTTATCTCCTGTGAATTTACCCTCCTGCTTATTGACAAAGGCGGCTGGATACACTCACACTTCATTATGGAGAGCAGTGACATCAGCAGATCAGTGGGTTACCAGGTTACCTGAAGAGAAGCCCAGACCATCCAATTAAAGCATACGAAGAAGAAGAACAGGATCAACTCTGCTTTAAGACGAAACTGCTTCAGTCATTGAGTCTGAGAAACAGCTGCAGCCTGCGCCTCTCTCTCTCACACACACACACGGTGAGTAGATCCAATAAACTTATGCTACAGACTTCACTTTAGACGTCATCTGACCATTTCTGCCATAAATGTGAATTTATATTTATTTAGTGAAATATTTGGAACTTTAAACGAATGTTTCCATCTTTAATCCTTAATTCTTTTGTAAGGTTTTGTCTTTGTTTAACTAGACACAACCACAAAATATACTCTGGATTACATAAAAAATAGAACGAAATAGTCAAATAGATCTAATAGATCTTAAGGAAAGCAATGGTACAATGGGCTACTGGTAGATTAAGCACCTAACAAAGACTAGTTCACTGGTAACCTGTTCAGGGTTAACGACATTTGCAACTAAGCCTTTAAACAAAATATCTGCGCGTTTCATTGAAATAGTACGCACGGAAGAACAAAATAGTTACAATGGATCACTCAACAGCAAGAACAATATTAAAAAAAATGATTTACTTAATTATATATGCTATGAGACAGACAACGGTGACAAAGACGGCTCAACTAGTTTATTTTCAGTGATAAATGATCCAATGATTCTACAAAGAGCGAGGAAAATTAGCGGCTCAAAAACCAGTAGACTGGATGAAAGTGTGTAATACACTAACCGAATAATATTATAAGCGCAGATCTCCCTGAAAACAGCAAGTCCTTTCAGGTGTGTTTTTGATACAAGGGATAACTCTTCTATTAGGAGCTGCTATTAGAAACTATTCCACCGAAATCTAAGTGTAACAGCTGACCTGTGTGACGTGCAGAACAACTGTAAATAATATTTCGCATAATATTGTAAATAAGTGTGTTGATGAAAGCAATGTTACTGTGCCACACTCGTAAATGCGCGCATTGCTCTTTTCACGTATCGGTTTCCAGCAGTCGCGTTAGTGCGTTTTGACAGACATTTCACTTTGGTTCAAAACAGATTCAATATGATGAGTCCATCAGCGCGTGCGCATTGCTGAGAAAATATTCCAGCTCAGTTCTGCTCTGTTTCGGTGAGTTTTATTACTACAGATGCAGAATTATGCTCAGCTCCGAAGACTCAGTGTGAGGGCTGAGTGAAGAGCTGCAGGACGAAGCCAAAGCAGAATCAGACATGCTTTTGTGGCATTCGCAAAGTGAATCAGAATTGCGTGAATTATTTAAATATGTCTCCCAAGATTTTGTGAAAAATACCCATAAGCACGCCTTTCGGTAGCAAAGCTACAGAAGAGGATGAGGGCCACTCGGGGGGGGGGAGATACTGAAGTGAAGTAGGATGCGCATTTTGAAATCAGCTCAAGTGAGGATTTTGGCAGTTCTCCCGCTCATGTTTTCCATTAAGGTTTTTTTTTTTTTTTAGAAAGTGAATTGGAAAAGATTATGAGGTTATTTTGGGTTTTTTGTTGTTGCTTTTCCCACTGCCCTGGGACTCACTGGAGTCACAATTTAATGAAAGCCTACAAAATTTGCGTTCCTTAGTCCCGGGGTTTTGTCTTGCAGGGAATTTCTATTGCGTATAATTACTTGCTGTTAATCTAGTTTTGCAAATACACCGTATAATTTACTCAGATAATACGTATTCGTTTAAAGGTTAAACGTTGTCATTAAGCGGGGTAAATCCTGTAAGGCCAATCCCAGGACAACAATTCCCATGGACTGAAGCCGGCGCGCTCACGGTGCTGATGCTGCTGCTGGTTAGCCAGGCAGCTAATCACTGAAGCTCCGGATAAATGGTCACATTTACGGCGTTTAACATCCACGTTAACCCGCGTTGTGTGGCGGCAGATGGACGCATAATATCGTGTGCATGTTCTTGTTGTCGTTTCGTGTAATGGAGCTGTGCCACCCGTGTACGAGCCGTGAGCAACGGATACTTGTGCAGTCTACGGTTAGCTTGCTAACGCTCCGGGGATTTTTAAGGTTTACTGTGGTTAATGGCTCTAGTCGTCAAGCTGTCGTGAGCGAGCCCTGGTTTGCTGCAGCTTCGCTTCCCCACTAGGATTACCTGACGGTCAGAGCCTCCACCAGCTCCACGATATGACTCACACACAGTGAGCCGACCAGCTGGCTGGATGGCTAGCTCTTTCGTTAGCTGCTAACCTAGGCGGTGATGCTAGCAGCCGTTCGGGTGTCGGTACCGCCAACTATCTGAAGCCATGTCTGCCCGATGTAGCTGATGTGTTGCTCGGCTTGCCAAAAGATGAAGGGCCGGGGTTATGATGCGCCTCTCCCTGCAGGAGGCGGAACATGGATGCAGAGGAAGAGCGGAGTGCACACAAAGTTTTGGATCCAATGGTGCCCTGCAGGCAGAACGGAAGGATCGGTAAGACTGGTGCCGCTGTCCTTTTTTTAATATCTCCTCTGTATTTTGTTAAGTTCTGTGTAAGGTGACCTCTCTGTCTGTGCGCAGGTACTTTGAGAACTCTCCACCGCCTGCTGAAAACCCAGAACACACTACAGATTCAGTCCATCACCCGCTCAGAATGTGCTGGTAGGTCAAATCCTGCATGGGCAGAAGCTCCCTTATTCACAAGGTTTCATTAACGGTACTTCCAGGTCATTAAAAACCAGCTGATTAAGATTTAGTTGATTAGCAGATTTTAAAAGGAGGGAGCAGCAAATCCCAGCCTTCTTTTTCCTGATTTCAAACTTGTGGACAAACAGAAGGAACGAGTCCTGGGCTTGAATAACGTTCCACATTTTTTCTGATGGATGTAAGTAAGATGCAAACCTGTAAAAGTTGTGCAGAATCTCATGATCTGCAGCTGGGGTGGCAAAGTCAATTTATATGCAGCATAAGTCCAGTTTGAGCTCAGACGGGCTTTATAGTTATTTTTTTTACATATATAAAGTTCTAATTTTTATCTTTTCAACATAAATGGTGAAAGTCAAAGTATTTATCTGTTCTAAAGAAATTGAAGTATGTACTAAACCCAAAAATCCAGCTATGAACCCGGTTTCCCTCCTTCATTGTCCAACTGTCCTGTTGACCTCCTGTGCGCTTGGCAGTAACATTGCTGGCAGTGACGTCCACTCTCCCCACACAGTGACAGAAGCACACGCCCGGGAGAATACATGTGCATTAGCACAGATAGAATAGTATCTTTGCAAACAGTGAAGTTCCAATTTAAAACCGAAACTATTACAGATAGAAACACCTTCCTTCTGTTGTCTCTCGGTTTTAGGCAGGAAACTGCAAAGAGGTAGATTAAATTAAATATGAATCTAATAATACAATTGATTTCAAATCTTCAGTTCACAAACTGTCTGTGTAAAACTAGTATGAATTACAGCGTAGTTTTGGAGAAGTGTTTCATCCTTCATTCCTCAACTTGACTTTAAACCTTTGGAGTGTTTGCAGATTTGGGGAAAATGGTACCGTAACACTAGGGCTGCACAATTAATCGTTAGAAAATCACGATCTCAATTCATACTTATGTGCGATCTCATTTCCAAGTGACAATGATTTTTTTAGAAAAAAAAAGTAAAAGATGACGATTGTACTGCATTTTGATCCTGGACATAAGCTGCATGAAAACAAGCGCTCACTCTTCCTGCTCAACAAATGACAAGGGCGGAGCCTTATACCAAGATACAGAAGTCAGCTGGCAGGGAAAAAAACAACGGAGAGCACCTGAGAGATGAGGAAGCTGTAAAGGCCAAGAAAGTGACAGGAGAAAATCCGTCCCGGTCAACCACCCAAACATCAATAACGGGAACCTACAGCGCTTCCCCATACCCGTCGAACTCCCGCAGGCACAAAGAAATTATGGAGGCTATCACTTATCACCTGACCAAAGATATGGCTCCCATCAACACTGTGCAAAACGAGGGATTTAGGAAAATGATCAACACCCTAGACAAACGCTACACAGTGCCGTCCCGCAACTATGTTTCTATTGTTGCACTACCTGCTCTAAACACGCAGCGTCGAGCAACGGTGGAGACGGAATTTCAAGCAGTACAACATTTTGCGGCAACGACAAAATGTGAGACATTTGTTGTTTTTGTGTTCAGTCTCAACTGTTACGAAGTTGATGTGCAGTTAATAAGTGCAATAAATATTTATATTGGAAAAGAAAATCGTGAGAGAATCGTGATCTCAATTCTAAACCAAAAAATCGTGATTCTCATTTTATGCAAAATCGTGCAGCCCTACTTAACACACAATTTTAAACTGTTGTCTGTGAATGAGAATTCTTTTCATGTCGTCTCCACAAATACCGGAGAGGAGAAGTTCTGTTGTTTGCCTTTTGATCTCACATGCGGCCTCCTGGGTGTTTCAGGTTCCTGTCCGAATCTAATGATGAGTAGGAGCGAGCATGCCGATGCAAGGCCCGTGCCCGTGGCCCTCACCCCCCAGCTCCCTGCCAGAGCCCACCGGCCTCTCTGTGTGTCGGTGTCCTCCGACAGCAGCGGACGCTTCAAGGCTCTGGAGACGCAGGAGTGGAAGAACAACCTCAAAGCTCAGGTACACAAACATCTGCTGCTATGTCCTCAGCAGGAGTTGAGGTACATCTGGATCCTGAAACATCTTCATATTAAAAAAAACCGGCGTTTCTAAAAGAATGAGTTTGTAACTGTGGACTAGTGTTCACATACAAAAATAGGCACATCTATGCTTTTATGTCTATAACTAAATATCATTAATCAATTAAAGAACAACAAGAAAATAATGAAAAGAAGTAGGAACATTTTGGAAATCTTGCTGAAAATATTTGAATAAACTGAAAGTAGAACAGATGCGTCTGGGTGATGGATGTCGTCTTAATAAATCAATCTGATAGCAGTGTAGGTCACAGAAGATGCTGATTAGTTTCCTCTTTTTCTAGCAGAAAGGTGACAGGGTTCTTAAAGCTTGCGGCTGTATTTCTACTTCAGTAGATCCAAATGAAACTCCATGTGGAGTTTAACTCCTCGCAGCGTGGAAGGGTGTAGAGAAAGGATTTCAAATGGGTCCATATCATATGTTGGAAGCACTGAGGAATCTGTGTTTCCTGGCTTTTTTATGAAGGGGGGAGCAGGCACTGCTATGGACTTCTCAGGTCTGGTTGGTGTGACAAACTGCTGTGAGAGTTGTTATCCATGTTTCATTTGTGTCTGTGTTGCAGATGGAGAAGGCTCACAGTGCAGGAGCAGCCAGCAGCACGGGTTCTCTGGAACGAGCGTCCCTGTTCTGCGCCTCTGCTTCTACCACAGTGTCCAGCTCCGGCCTGTCCAGCCCTGTGGAGATACTCAACAAGAGCAAGTCCTCTAGCCGCTTCTCTCTCTTCTCGCCGCCCTGGAACAGCAGCTCAGAGTCCGACTCCAACCCGCCGTCCCGCTCCGGCTCTAAGAAGCTCCGCAACTACAGCCGGAGAGCCGCCACGGGGCCGGCCGGAGCGAGGGGCCCTGATACGCCAGAGCCCAAACCCAGTGGTCCCGAACACTTCCAATACTCGGAGCCCGTCATCTCCAAGGTGACCGATTACATCTATGTCGGCAACCTAAACGCAGCGTACAATGGCCGTACGCTGTGCCGCAACAACATCGATAGCATCATCGACATGAGCAGTGCTCCAGGAGAATCGGCCCCCTCCCTTAGCCTCATACCCTGCACCTGCTCTCGTGGCGCTCGCCACAGCTGGTCCCGCCTCAAAGTGGACATCGGAGATGTGCCGGACGCTCTGGGCGATGGCCCGTCGCTGAAGCAGCGCTGTTTCGAGGACATCAACGAGTGCATCAACGCCTCCACGGAGAAGCGGAAGCGCGTCCTGGTCCACTGTCGGGACGGCTACTCTCTGGCGCCCACGTGCATCATCCAGTACCTGATGGTGAAGCAGAACATGAGGCTGATCGCTGCCTATGAGCTGCTGAGGGCCAAGTACCCGGTCAACATCAGAGAGTGCCACCAAAACGTCCTTGTGAGCCTGGAGAGGGCGCTGCGGCCCGGCGGAAACATTGACCCTGAGTGCTTCAAACAGGCCATCTCACGCAAAGTGGCGTGGACCTGATTTTGTTTCCCATCATGCTCAGCTGCTGCTCGACGCCCTCTCTGCTCCTCCCACAGTATTGGATCCTTTCATACAGACAACCAAGGGCAGCTGTAGACTGATCACATGGATATTATTGTCCCCACTTGTGGTTGTGAGAATTTGATGTATTTCCTCTTCAGACCTGTAAATGTGACCTGGCCGTGATTTCCTCCTTCATACTCGCCAAATAGGAGACGCAATAGACTTTGCTGTAGTGTGCAAAGCTTCTCGGTATAACAGTGTGATAGTGTTGGCTGTATAGTTGATATAGTCCTGCTTCAGTTCTGTGCCACACCGTCGTGTTGCTGTTCTATATCAGGGGAATTTCTTACCGGGTGATCTCAGGAGATTATTGATGTCATACTAGAACCGTGTCAGTGGTCGTTAGATTATCCTGCAGCTTCGTTCACACGTGGAATCAAAAATGCAGCTCGGAGAGTTGGGAAGAGTTCCGCAACAGGTCCAAAAGGGTTATAAAGCCGTTGCACGTTCACGTTATGCATCCAGCTGGCACCACGGCCACTGTAGGAGCTCTTCCACTTCCTGTTAATTCCATTGCACCGATGTTTGCTGCAGATCAGACGAGAGCGCATAAGAGTTAATGGAACCAAAAGGCTAAAATGGTTATGTCCCCACAAGAGCCCACATTTGATTTTAACTTTGAAAAATGGTGAACGGATAATGATAAAGTCTCTGAACTTGAATAAAACGCGTTTATGTCTTTTAAGAAGCCGATCTGGTCCATAAAATAGATTGGTCCTGATTGGTCAGATAAGGATGTCTGATAGGATAGCACCCATTTCTAAACAATAACTTGATAGTTTAACCCCCAAACAGCCTCTTCCATGTTTGTATAAGTAGCAGCCGTGCTGTGACGTCTCTAATACTCACAGAAATGCCTTTTTAAACTCAAATATATAGTTTGTGTGTTCTTTATTTTTCTTAAAATCAAGATTAACATTTCCCGATGAAAAATACTTATTCAGCAAAATTGATCTTGGAGGGCTGCATCATTTTGGGCTATTGCCCAGGTTCAGTAAGACGAGCACCAGAGCGTGGTACAACTCGTAACTGTAGCTCAGTGCAACTAAAAGAAAGGACGC